GAATCACTGTATTGATTTTTCTCCTCCCTCCATGCTGAAAGTTCTCCAATGTATCATAAGCTTTAAGACACAAACCAGGGACACTCCCTTTTGCACATATTTCTGTTCCTTTGCAAATGAACTATTTAACTCTTAAATTCAGTTTTTGCCTCTGTTTCTGCATGTGGGTCTGGAAAATCCCTGAAATTATGTCTTAAAGTATGTCAGTACGCAACTCCCAAGGACAAAAACTCAAGGTCACTAATCAATGTCAGAAGTTGAAATCTCTTTCTACCATCACAATCTGAGCTCTCTAAATATTCAGAGATAACAAATCTGTTTGTTACAGTATATTTTCGATCTTTTCCAGGTATAAGGTTGCCATCACCAAGCACAAGGACTCGGAACAAACCAGCAGTAGTCTTTACAGTCAGAATGATGTTTGGACTCCAGCTGTTGACTTCAGCAAGTATATTGAAGACAATGAAAGCATTGAAGATCAAGTATGTTGTGACATGATTTGACAAAAGACTGTAACTACTCAAAAGACCTCAAATTTGAAAAATATAACGTGCCTTATTATGTGTCTTTAGGACCTTGTTGCCTGGGTGACCACAGGCTTCCTTCATATTCCTCATGCTGAAGACATACCCAACACTGTGACAGTAGGTAATGGTGGTGGAGTCATACTACGACCACATAACTACTTTGATGAAGACCCATCTATCAGCTCTACAGATTCTGTGTACTTCAGCCCTGGTGCTGAAGGCAGCTGTGAGAACAACAGGATGGCATGCTTAACACACGAGACTTGTACCCCCACCCTGGAGACCTTTACCTACCACGGCTTCGACGGAGTCATGAAGTTTGAGGACTGGAAATGAAATCATTTCCAGTCCTCATAAATATGTGTTGTTGAGCAAAAGCTTCACAGTTATTTTAGTATGTAAGAAAAGTTTTGCACTATGTGTTTAACTTAGTGTAGCAAATTGAATTAATACACAGTATATTTAGGCCTACAAATCCCTCTGTATTATGCTGTTTTATTTACGTATCAACACAGTTGTTTACAGGTGAAAAACAGTCTTTTTACCTTCACTAAAGATAAAAAAAATGGTTTTACCTCTAGTGAACTCTAATGATATAGATATAAATACATACATATATAGCTCTGGAAAAATGGAGAGACCACTGAAAAATGATCAGTTATCTGATTTTACTCTTTATAGGTCTATTTTTTGAGTAAAATGAACATTGTTTTTTTATTCTATGAACTACTGACAACATGTCTTTGAAATTACAAGTAAAAATTTAGTATTTATTGGCAGAAAATGACAAATGGTCAAAATAACAAAAAAGATGCAGTGCTTTCAGACCTCAAATAATGCAATGAAAACAAGCTCATATTCATTTACAAACAACAATACTAATGTTTGAACTCAGGAAGAGTTCAGAAATCAATATTTGGTGGAAGAACCGGGAGGTTTTGAATGCGGTTCAGTGCAGTGGTCTCTTTTTTTTTCTCTCTCTCTCTCTCTCTCTCTCTCTCTCTCTCTCTCTCTCTCTCTCTCTATATATATATATATATATATATATGTATATATATATATATATATATATATATATATATATATAAAGCTAAAACAGTTTTTTATTTCAATCACTTTAATTATTCATATTATTTTTGTAAAAATTCTTGCATGTCACCATTTTGCCATGACACATCTTTTGAAAAATAAAAAAAATACTCTTTAATATTGATTATGCACTGGAGGATCATTAAGTCATTTTTCTCAATGAATTCATGCAGCTGAGATTGTTTTAATCGATTCTCTTATTTTTGCACCATTGGTCTCACAGATGGAGCAAAACTGATGAGACCTAACAGTAATTCAGCTGACTGTACAGCAGAGGGTGCTGCCTGCTCTGGAGTCATTTTCCACCATAAAATTCTGCACTATAAAGCCTCAGCGTATGGCAGGCCAGTCTAACATAAATTTGGTTTCGTCTGACAAGCTGTAATTAAAAACAAACCAAAAAATAAATTCAAATTCTCTATTACCTTTGTTTAGGTAAACCACACTGACATCCAGATCTTATTTTAAGAGTGAAAGAAACTTGTAATACACAACAACTTGGTTACACAACAGTAAAATAAAACATATGCACAAATTTAAAACAAATGACAAAACAGTTTAAAAGCAATGACACTGATTGATATGAATATGTTGCACGTTTTTAAGAACTGCTTGAAAAAAGTACAATGAAATAAGATCTGACATCTTAAGTTCAAACTGCGTTGATTGCTTGCTTCCTTTTTTCTGTTCGAACACATGGAACATGTAAGGGAAAAATGTTGCTGGAGCGTAAAAAATGTCCAGTTTTTTACACTCGAGTTGTAGGAGAGAATTTAAATAAGTTGGAGCCAAGACTTTTATAAATCTACACTTGATGACTTTCATATCATCAAATGATTGATATTTCCATTCGCTTAAATGGCCCATACAACTCAGAATGATGTTGTGTAAGACATCTGCTACTTGTTGCAAACCTTAAAGCACAATGATAGATGGTATTCAAGGATTGAAGCCATTTGGTCGAAGCATTCATATATAAAATATGTGCATAATCCAGTAGTGGATTATGCACATACTGTTGCTGATACCAAGTTTGTCAGCTTTATGACTAGTTATAAAATTATTGTACATATCTGAAATATTAGTATTGAGAGTAATTCATTGTAGAGATCTTGAATTGAAGGCTCCATACAACCCAGTGGTAAATCTGATGTCATTTCTACCACTCACAATGTTTTTAGAGATATCACAAATAGGTATTTTGTCTAGTAAAAATATATTCACATATATCTTAATTTCCTAATATATCTAGTCATAACCCAATTTCAGATGTCTGGAATGTAAATGCAATAAAACTGAATTTATGTTCAAATGGCCTGCCATACACAGTGATCTGCAGTCAGGACTGCAGTTGTTTTTATAGAGACTTTACACAAGCCATTCAGCGCATATTAAAAAACCTTCTCTGATGAATAAGTATTGCCTATTTAAAATGACGAGCTGCACAGTGTTGAAGTTGGTGTTAGATAATGGATGGTCAGATATTTAACAGGACAGTCAGCACCGCCAAAAACTTGCTGGATAAATTCATTGTTACTGTCTGTTACTGTTGTTACACACATGCGTGCATGCGTGCGTGCACACACACACACACACACACACACACACACACACACACACACACACACACACACACACACACACACACACACACTGTCATGATGGGTTTTATATTTCTTGCCCACATGCAGAAACACTCACAGAGATAAAGATAAAGATTGAAATGTTTATTAACAGTGAACAAACAAATAAACAATGCTGCTTAGTGGGGAAGCTGCAGCCAGGAATCCAGGGAACGACGACTGAACACAGAGAGAGAGAGGGGTGATGAGTTCAATCTCTGTGGGCAATTGAGTCGGTTGGTCAAGGATGGATGTGGCGTTGAAGGGCGGACAGGTAAGTTTCACGACGGCACAGAGGTGCAGCGAGACTGACTGCCAACTGGATACTTGCAGTGAAACAGACTGGTGAGACTGTGGAGCTCAGGCATCCGGTGAGTAGATTCACGGAATCACGAGAAGGTTTCTTCAGAACTCAGAGAACACGAGGATGTCCCAAAGGATCTCGAAGGTGTCCTGAGGAGGATTCAAAGAAGAACGGTTAGCACAAGAAAACTCGGAAAGATCTCCAAAAGCTCAGCAAAACTACGAGGGGCTAGTGTACCAAAACTGGCAAACACTCTGGCGACGAGATGCTAGCAGTCTGCTGCTCATATATTCCTCTAGTGAAGATGATTATTATTCCCAAATGTGAAGAGTGAGGATCTACCAGCACGCCCTCCAGGAAAACAGCCTAATAGCACAATTAGGTGGAGGAACGGTGGTAACTGAAGAGAAAGCAAACTAACCCCACAACCTGGTACACAACACACACACACACACACACACACACACACATATATATATATATATATATATATATATATATATATATATATATATAGCACCATGGTCAGGTGCACCAAAACATTCGCTAGCAGAGTGAAGAAAAAAAAACCCAAGATGTTTTTATTCCGCATTGTTTTTTGCACTGTGAGGCCTTCGTTGCCAAGACCTTACTTGCAGAAGTAGTTCTTCTGATGAATGATGCTGTGCACATTGTGAACTTCGTTAAGATCCAATCTGTGAAAATGTGCACATTTGCATCCTTGTGTGATGAAATGGGAGAAGAGCATAAAGCCTTGTTCCATATGGAGGTCTGTGGTTGTTGCGGGACAAGGTGAAGCACTGCATGTATGAGCTTTGGGACGAACTAAAGGTGGCCCACGAAAAAGTAGCCTGCGTTACTACAGTATTACTGGCGGCCTTCCATAAAGAAAGAAAGAACTTGAAATGCCAAAATCTTTACTCACTCTTTACAGAAAGTGCTGGAAATGATCCCCTTGTGCGTCAATGCAGTTTTGGGCGCACCTTAACATATTATCATATGTGTGATGCAACTCTGGGGCACCAATGCTCTGAATTGCATTACGAATATTGTCTTTCAACTGCTGTAAAGTTTTCGGGTTATTAGCGTACACTTTGAAAAGTGTACGAAAAAGTTAAAAAAAAGGAAGGCGGGATACTTTTTTGTGGGCCACCCTGTATTTAAAGAGTATTTTTTACAAATGAAAAGTTTGAATATTCAAATGCTAGAGATGAGTGAGGTTAAAGATTGGTATGGCAGATATACTTCACCATCTCAATGAACTGAACACATAAGAGCCTGCTTACAAGCACAGACAAAATAAATGCATTCTGTTTGTAAATGGATCTCTGGCAATAACATGACATGTCCAAAGGGCCAACCTTGAGATGTTTCCACTCACAGAAACAGCAAGATGCCAACACTGCTGCACTATGAGATAATAGTTAAACATCTGAAGACTCTGGAGGAGAAGTTGTCATTTTATTTCTCTTCATCCATCACTGAATCTCTTGACTGGATTAGGGGCCCATTTAGATCATCATCAGTTTTGGGAAAGGACATGACTGTAGGGGAGCAGAAGAAGCTAACTGAGCTGAAACAAGATTGTGTTTTAATGCTAAGGTTTGCTGATGTACCTTTGGACAGTTTTTGTTAAATGCTGCAAAGGAGTTCCCCATTTTGGGCCAAAATCACTTCTTGCATGCCTGTACCCTCTGGGGAGTCAACTAGATCTGTTAGTCCCCTTTGTTGCCTCTAAGTCAATGTTTCTTAATCCCATTCCTCAGGAACCACTGCACTTCATGTTTTAGGTGTTTCCCTTCCACCACACACCTGACATAAATATGTAGGTGAATAACAGGCTGTTGTCATGCAGAAGATGTCACGGAATCATTTGAATCAGGTGTTCTGGAACAGAAACACATCTAAAATATTAAGGGTAGAGGTGCTTGAGAACCAAAATTGAGAAATGCTGCTCTTTGTGCCCGGGGGTCTATAAGGTCAGCTGCCCCTGGAATGAAACCATTTTAAAAGTTCCCCATTCCATAAAACTGAGATTTTAGTTTATTGTTTATGTCTTGTGTCTCGTTCTCCAGTTACCCTAGTTTAGCGGTTTATTATGTTTAATTATTCTTTCATGACAGATTCATTTCCTAGTCCCCAGTGTGCCTTCCCTTGCCCCCTGTGTCACTACCCGTTTCTCTGTCTCCCGTCACACCAGAAACCTGTTAGCTCACCATCCCAGGTCCATTGTTCCAGCATTCACTCTCACAGTATCTAAACCTTTCTCTTGCTCACATTCCTTGTTGGTTCACCCGGTGTACCCCGTCTATTCCCCTCGTCATGCTCCTTGTGTTCACTGCTATAAGTTTTGTTGTTTCACCCTCTTTTTTTCATTAAAACTTTCATCATCTACTTGACATCTCAGCCTCTCTGCATTTGGATCCACCAATAAACCACTCAACATTATAGAAGAAACGAGCTCACAGGACCTAGCAGATCCCTATTCGGAAAAGATTTTTAATAACTTTACAGAGTACCTCCACTCCAAATCAAATTCCATCCCACTGCAATTTTGTGCTACACAAATGGGCTCCTCACCTTCCATCATCAATCATCTCAGATCTGCAGAAGAGAA